TTTCTGCCGCGGCTGGGCATGTTTGGGCTCCGTCAGTGTAGCCCCCCTGGACGCACAGCCAGGGCTTGGGTGCGTGCTCCCGCGTTGCGGTGCCCCGTCAGGACCTGAGCAGCTGTGCCAAGGGTGTTGGCCTAGACAGAAGAGCTAGGAGGTATTTTAGACAGCGTAGAAGGCAATGACTGCACAGAGCCTTCTCAGCGCGGGGAAATCTGTACAATCACAGAATCACAGAATCGTTTAGGTTGGAAGGGACCTCTGGAGATCATCTAGTCCAACCTCCCTGCTCCAGCAGGGACCTCTAGAGCACATTGCCCAGGATCACATCCAGACGAGTTTTGAACATCTCCAGCGAAGGAGACTCCACTACCTCTCTGGGCAACCTGTTCCAATGCTCTGTCACCCTCACAGTAAAAAAGTTTCTTCTCAGGTTCAGGTGGAACTGCCTGTGGTTCAGTTTCTGCCCGTTGCCTCTTGTCCTGTTGCTGGGCACCACGGAGAAGAGGCTGGGCTCATCCTCTTGAAACAGGCCCAGCTCTTGCAGTCTTTCTTCATAGGAGAGGTGCTCCAGTCCCCTCATCATCTTTGTAGCCCTCCGCTGGACTCCCTCCAGCAGTGCCATGTCTCTCTTGTGCTGGGGAGCCCAGAACTGGACACAATCTGTGCCACCAAGCAAGAGCTTAGTGGGACTGGTGGCTGTTGGGCACTAACAAGCCGTGCAGATGTTTTTTTCTTCGCATGATGTGACTTAATTACCTAGAAAGTGGAATAAGCTAACTCACTGCATACAACAGTACCCACATAGGGCTTTAATGTAAGGTACCTAGAGCATGCTGAAAATTTCCACTGTAGTTTTCTGTATACCCACCTCCCATACAAACAGGGCCATCAACATTGTTTTTACTTTAACCCCAGCAATAGAACTATTTTAAGTCCAGTCTGTCAACTTGCCCAGTGACACATGCATAAATTGAATTAGTCATCTACTCCACCCTCCAAGAGCGCTCCTCACCCACATTCAAGGGTAAAGTAAGTGTCCTCCCAAATGGAAAGCAGACTGGGAGTACAGGAAGTGAGGATGAATGGGAAGAAGGTATGGTCAGAAGCCAGCCAGAAATAGAGCATGATCTGCAGCAGAGCAGGAAAAAGAACAAAATCACTAAAGCTAAAAGTTCAAATAAGAAAGGTACTGGAGCTATTTCACTGAATGAAACTCATGTAAGAAGGGTGACAAATCTTAAGAAAGTCAGTACCCTATAAACTTAAGAAAAATGTATTCAAATAGAGATAAAAGTACTGAATAAAGATGATAGTTTTATGGATTAGTTTTACGCTACAGAAAAAAGTGTTATGTATACCTCTTCTTACATAAACATATATTTAAAGGCTAGCTTGCGAAATTGATCCTTTGTTCTCACCAGCTACCAATCCTTTTTGAATGGTCCCAAACACTACAATGTCTCTTTAAAAAGTCAACAGTCATTGTGTGGTCTTACATTGTTACATTCCTTGTCAAACAAGCCTTCCCCTTTTCTTCCTAATCATGATTGTATGGATTCTAGTAGCGTGTGCACACTTTCTATAGAAGATGTGACTGGCCTTGAGCCATCTTACAAAAGCCTTGAGCTTGGTTAACTCTATAGCAGCAAAACTGCTCTACTCTGCATCAGCATTAAGGCCAATGTGTTCAAAGTTCTGATCTAGTGTTGGTGTTAAAATAAATTTTCCAAAAATCTTCGAACTCAAAGATATTCTTTAAAATAACTCTTTAGCTCATCCTCTCAACTCATTCTCCCAAAATACTTGGCAGTGTAGTTTTAGGACTCTATCCAACGGCACCGAGCATTGTGAGAGCAGGAGCAAAGTAGCAAAATCAAGAAGACAGCCAAGACCGAGATTTGTGAAACAGGGGAAGTAGTGTATAAGGAGCTGTGAAGCAGGAATCAGAAGCTGAGGAAAAAACACAGCAAAACTAGAGTTAAGAAAAAAGTATGGAGAAGAGGATAAGGGGAGAGAGCAGCCAGAGAATGTTAGACGAGAGATGATGAATGGAGTTAGCGATAAAATAAAGGCAGGTAAAAGGTAAGCATTGTTTAGGGACCGGAAGTGACAGAGAATCCAGAATAAATAAGAATTCAGTGTTTGGTAAAAAGCAGATCAAGAAAAGTGATGGTATTTTTAGGGAGTCCAAAAATGTAGTTCAAATGAGAATTTTTTGGAAAGAAAGTGAAAATCACCTAATGAAAGCAGAATAGACATCAGTATTGAAACTGAAATCACTCCAGAAATGCGATAAACTAAAAAGAGTACAGAGTGTTCATTATAGTCAGTAAAAATGAAAAGAACATCTGCAGGAAGTGTTCTTTTAAGAATATGGAAACACTGGCAGTAGGAAAATGGTGTTGACTATGGTTATACAGGTTAAGAAACACTATTGCCACAGTCTTCGCAGAGAATGAAGCAAATGACAAGCCAAAGATTGTACAGCATAAATAGGAAACATAGGCTGTTTCCTATAACCTTTTTGGATAGGAAGCAGGAATTTTTGAATGGAAAGCTTGAATTTTGTTGAAAGGAGATGGCAGGAGAGCAAAATGAAAAAGTCAGTGAACGACCTTAGTTTGGGAAAAACTGTCAGAGGAAAGCAGACAGTAAAGAACAAGGTGTAACAAGAACGTCCAAGAGCAAGGCTAGCAAGGGAAGAAATAGCGCTGAGGAAACCTCCAAAACATCATTAATGCACACCTGAATGGTGAGTGCTCAATCGCCATGTGCAGAAAAGAATAGCAAACTTTACTAAGAATGACAGTTAACTGCTACCTTGAAAGCAGAGCTGGTAGAAATAAGAAGATGAAAGAAAGATAAAAAGTGCTTGGCTAGACTTTTCTGCCCTCGGGAGAAGCTAGGCTGTACTAAGACAGATCTGCGTCTCAATTCCCAAAAGTCCCTTGAAATAAATCAGCTTGGTTCAAGAAAACAGAACCAAGCAGATGTTCAAATCAGATAGAAATTATAATGGCTGTCAACAAAAAGTCAGTTACTCTGGCTAGCGCTGTACTGAGGACTTTAGAATGTTCAAACTGCAGTTTCACTTTTGAAATTTATTTTATTTGCATTTTGTGCTTGATTGATAGACATTTTGTTAACAACATTCAATATCGTTAGAAGTCAAAATACATTGCAAATTGCAGTACACATCCAGAAACAAGACGTAGTGAATTTCATCCAGTTAAGTGATGAAAATTTCATTAGCAATGGAGCATTCTTTGGTTAAATAAGAACAGCAGTTAAAACCAGCTGTACTTAAAATACTGTGCATGCATTACTTTTGCACAAATTAGCTAAAAGTTAGAACTCAAGTACCGGAACTTTTTATTCCTTTTCCATCAAGTACACAGACATGACTAAATGCATCTCTTAAATATTGCAAAACTACAGTTCAAGTTTAAACTAACATATATTGCACAACAAGGTTTTTTGAGGAAGCTACAGAAATAAATAGCTAAAATACAGACTACATGACAATAAAAATCAGCCAGTTGCAATGCTTTATAAATTCATAAAGGCTTACAAAGCCTTTCATAAAATGTGTATTTGATCTAATAATTAAAGCACAACAAATAAATAGGATTTTTGCTATTGACTTGAACTAAAGCAAGATCAGACCCATTACAGTCTCAAGAAAATATGATCTTATTATGGATCTTAATGATAATCTTTGGATTAAAAGCTTTAACAAACATCACTTTCCATGTGATGACCAGTATCACTTGAGACATTTGTCAGTTTAATGAAAAATTGTAAGTAATATATAACTGACAGTGTGAAGTCCAATTAAACAAATGAATGACTATCTATCTCCTCTCCTTTTTTTGCTGCAGAAAATCCCATTCAAACCCTGCAGGGCATATTTTTGATGAATTTTTACAGACTTTCAAGGGCTTTCATGGAAACTATTCTTCGGGAGAAAGACGCATGAAATGAGAACAGGTGATTTCAGATGACATTTCTTTACAAAGTCCTCTTTGTCACTTTACATGACCCTGCTGTTTCATGTTTTGAGGTTCTGTCAAGAGTCTCAAGGCTTGTCCATAGAGAAGAGCTTGTTTATTGATGTGTCACTTCATAATACAGTAGCTACTCCAATTCATCTAACAATGCAGGCAGAGAGCAGATAGCAAATAGTGTATTGTAAATTCAAAACCTTTCTTAGCGTACATTGACTTCTTAAACAGTTAAAGTTCTACTAAATATTGTTGATACTGTCCCTTACTACTTTAAGGCAAGAGTGTTAATAAGTAACGGATACTACCTCCTAGAGCCATATCACTGTAATCGGGCTATCCAAGTATGTCAGTGAAAATGACAGTATAGTAATAAGAACATCTCTACAATTTTTATTCTCTTCCTCAGCTTGTTTGAACATTGTGTTTTGTGTATGTGAGAAGGAGAATATGAGCATTTCAGGTTTCTCTGGGAATAACAGTGAACTAGGATAACACAACATGTAATTAAAGTTGCACATAAAATTTGTACCTCAGACCTGTGGAGATTCACTTATTGGGTCTAGTACTCTGCCTATTGAACTCTCTTTAAAAAGTCCCATTAATCTTAATGGGGACAGAATCAAATCCACAGTAGACAAAGATCTCCATGGTAAAACAGTATGAATCCAGGAGGATTTCACTTAATGGTAATCTATAAAGCTATATGGGATCAGCTATTTTGCTTCCGTACCACAAGATAGGGGGCAAACTCATATGAGAAAATGCTGCTGATCTGCCAAGAAAAAAAAGGAAATGCATCCAGGCAGGACACTTCCCCTTTTTGCATAATTACCTCTATAAAAGATCAGCACTGCTAACAGGCTCACTGGAATTGAGACAAGAAAAGATATGCTTAGCAAGTGTCCAAAGATTTCCCCCCCCCCCCAGTTTTCTCCAGTTCTTATAGAATATTAGTAATGGTAGCAATGCCTGGAGCCTTGAAATCACCCAAAGTCTAAGTGACCCCTAGTAGATAAAACAGCATGTTGTCTAGCCCAGCTCAAAGAATGATGCCCTCTCTTCATGCATGAACCAAAATAGGCTCAGCTATAAGCATAATTGGCTGCCAGCTGGTCACAGCGCCCTGAGCTGCCTCTGAACTCTGTCCGAGGCTTAACTTGTAAAAGCTAGCAGAGGTGGCTAGCAGAGAGACCCATGCTCTTCCTCAGGTCTACCTTGGCATGGGCTACTATTAAGAGCTCTGGTTCCTTCCCAGGGATGCTGAAAGACTTGTGCATTCCCTCCCAGGCACACAAAACCAATCTAAATTTATCTTATTTTTAATGTTACAGGGAGAACAGCTGAATAATTTACAGACTGTATAATGAATTAGCCAGTTAAGCCATGGGACCTCTTTTAACTGTGATACCCTCAGAAGCTACAGAATAAGCTTACCATCTAGAGAAAAGGCCGAAGACTCATAAAAGACCTTTGAACTATTTTACTATTATAGTGAAAAATGCCAGTTCATAATGTGTTTGAAATGAAGTTTGCACTTTCCGCACTAAAAAAGTGGGTTTTTCGTGGACTGAAATATCTAACTATCATTAGGCTCCTTTGAAAAATAAATTCAGGAAGGAACCCTTTTAAACTTAGTGAGAAAACAGATTTAAGGGACTGGCTTCCGCCCTTAAATGGGTTAGTGACACTTTACAAAAGTCAGTTGCACAAATGAGTTAAAAATAAAACAGGAGCAGGAGATGGGATGTAAAATATTTGGGACCATAGGCTATTAAAATACTTTTTCTGTCTCATAATCTACAACAGGCTAGCTGGGAAAGTTTACTTAAGTTTTTTAACGAGAAAGTGCGTACTTGTATTGGGATAATCCTTGTGGGGCTGATTTGCTGTTTGGCCCTTAACATGTTTAACCTGCTTTGCGTCAGTAGAAGACAAGCCGTACTGAAGTTGTGTTGTTCGAGCTGCTTGCATTTTTTTCTATTAAGTGTCTGATGGAAGGCTGCGTTCTACCACCAGCCTCTCTACTCAATTTCCAAATTAAGTATCCAGTTAGATAATTAGGAAAAAGTACATGTAGAATATATAAGTTAGCAAATGAGGACAGCTTTTTTTTTTTTTTTAACTTAGATACCTAAAGTTGTAGCTGTTAGATTTAGCTTAGAATACCTACAAAACAAGAGAGATCAGGCAGCAATAATACTTCCACAATACACAGAGGGTTTTGAATAGGCAATTCGCTTTTCTGTAAATCAGAACATTATATTTAGCACATACTATAATTTCCATGTGGGTGTGCAGCAATAAAAGTCAAAACAAACAGATACAAAAGGTTTTAAAGCGATGTTCAGGATGTTATATTGCCTGTTTGAAATGACATATTTGTACTTTGCAGGTTAAGGTTACTATTCACTTCTCCTTTATAATTTCAGAGTCTGTGTTGGTTTATTTCCACTCTGTTCCATGTAAGATAGGGCTATTTTGAACACTTTTGAAAAAAAAAAATCACTGTAAAGAAAACATCTAGCATGAAATTTTAAAAGTGTTCGGAAAAGAAACTCAGAAGACTTGTATTTCAAAGCCCATTCAGTCATGCTTTACTTGGAATTGCTTTTAAATACTCTTCTACTGTGATGGTAGAAACTTCTCCATACCAGCTTTGAAGCCAAATCTGCTCAACGTTCATTTTCATGAAGAACCACTCATAGTTGCGAGGCCACTTTCTTATCACTGGGTGCCTGGAAAGACAAAAAAAAAAAAAAAAAGAAGAAGAAGAAAGAAAAGGAAAGATGCGCCAAAGCATATGCATAGTCCGCTTTTTTCTACTGTCTAGTGCACTCGGTCAGACTGAAACCTGAGACGTGAGAATCACCACCATTCATCTTTTTTTTCCCTTTCTTGTAATAAAGTTTATGATGCTCCATACCTCAATCTGGCAAGAAATACAACTAAGGCAGCCAAGGAACACCACCCTCCTCCCTCTTGCAGAACTTCATCTCCAAAGGTTGACGTTGTTTGGTCTATAAGTAAGTAAAAAACAGTAAGACCAAGATTCTAAGCATGCTTGTTTATTCTCCAGCGTAGCTCATTTGAAAGTGAAGAACTGCAGCTCTTGGAGAAGCATGGGACAATTTTTTCCTTTTCAGCCTGCAAAGAATTTCCAGGAGATGGGAAGCAGATGACCCATAATTTTGTTGGACTTGACATAGGCCATTAGGTTCAGTGGGCATCACAGAAGACCATTGTGGCGCTCCAATTCACAAAAAGGTCTGAGCCTGATGCCTGAAAGCAGCAAAGTTCTTCACTGTATCTTAATAGGCTGTGGCTAAAAAGCACTATCTTGTCCTAAGGTGGGGGAGAATTATTAAAGGTAGTGTCACACTGAACAAATCCACCTTGTAGTTAGGAATCTCTCCTCAAAGCTAGGTGAAATAGTTTCCTAATCCCCAGATTATAAATCACATGTGCTACTGGAGTCCAATATTTACTAATGTATCTCCATATTTCATTATCCTAAGAGTTAAAAGGAGGTTCTAAAGCTCTGCATATCATTCTAAGAAACGCAGGAGTCAACTTACTTTTGTGGCCTCCAAATAAAGGCCAGGTTCATTACTTCTCAGGTTTTCAGTCCCAAATGGCCATGTCTGTATATTTGTCTCAAAACAGCAGGTTGTATTATACTATATGCGTATTACATACAGACCTAGAAAACATTGCTTGCTTGGCAAATTCCATTTCCTCCGGAGGCACTGTGACCATCTGTCCTGTGAGAGTCAGTCTGGTGCACCTTGGATCCTCAGGATCAATTACATTTTTTCTGTGCGCAGAGAAAAATGCTCATGTATAATAGCTTGCTTTTTTTGCTATGGGTTTTTGAGAAATACGAATGTGAACTCATTCTCACATATATATGTCATTTTTTGGTCAGACCTTTTCTACACAGCAATAACATTCAGTGGAACTATTGAAGGAATACTCACCTGAAGTAGACCTCTAGGGTAGAGGTTTGTTTAATCCTCATTTATGCTCTTTAAAACCAGATTAGAGTATGTAGTCAGGATTCTGAGGAACGTTGGTGAAATGGTTAGTCTGGAGCTAAGCCTAAAAAACACGTGCGTGTATAAAATATAAGGTCTTTTCCTAGTGCCTCCTGTAGACTCAGTCCCTGTTTACTTGTACCCTGCTGATTGCTTTATATCAGCTTATTTTTGCAAACAGAGGAGACAGATAAAATCTGTTAAAAAAATATTGAAATATCTCCATCCTTTAAACTGAGAATGGAAAGGTATTAGTTGCTTTTTGGATCTTTCTACACAATAATAGTATTTAAATAACTTCCATGAGCAGCTACGGGGCAGCTGCTGACTCTGACATACGCTATACATAACTGACCAATAGCAAAAAAGTTGGAGGAAATCACTGTAAAGGCCTGATCCTGTGAAGTGATGAGCCACCCGCAAGCGTCTCACAGGACTGTGTCCCACATAAGAACATAAGCTCAAAGAATCACATTGGGAAATGAAGATTGCATTTCTTGTTATCTGTGCTTTAATCTGAAGCACCAAAGCACAGTAAATTAAATCTAATCGGTGTGCAATTTTACTTAAAGTTCTTGGCTTTAACCCTTTAGCCTTCACTGTGAACGCACTCTGCAATGCCTTTTTTCCCTGTAATTCTCAGTACATGTCTAGTGCGTGCGGGAAACATATGGGCACCTTCCTGCAGCTAATTTAACACCTGCAGATTCCCCACAGATGGTTATGAAAGACTGTGTAACTTCCTGGATAAAGTGTCGGCTTTTATACGTAGGACTATGAACAGAAGTATGCCAGAAAATATAACAGGCTGGTACTCAGCTATGCCCAGTAAGCACTTGGCACAGTTTGAAGTGGGTGCTCCAAAGAGCCATTTGCAGTCACATCATCTCTGGGATGTTTTTTCAGCATCCTGATCACTTTGGAGCAGCAGTTCTCTGAAGCTGTTCAGCTTGATGGTGTCTGGACAAACTCCACTCATACTCTTTTTGCTCTACCTACCTGCATGGGAAGAAGAACAGCAACCAAGGATCCAGCTCAAGCTTTCTATGCACATTAATAAATAATGCTCTAGATTTTTTCCAGTACATTTTTTGAAATATGAACTAATAGATGAATGGTGGTCTAAGTACCTGAAAATCTGCATTCCATGCCCCAACTCTGGATCTAATTCTATCAATGTATATTCAAAGTATGAACTTGTCTACATGCTCACCTTAGCACGTGGCAGAGCTTCTACACTAACTCACGGCGTGCTGGAGATGCCGTTTCACAACTGGCTTAAGGTGGTCTAAGACTCTACTGTCCTTAAACGGTGCAGCTCCATGCTGACCTTTTTTGCCCCAACGTTAGCCAAAGTTCCCATCGTTTCTTCTGCATTGGCTTTGGATGTTGGATGGCCGTTTAGTGTGTGTGAGCCACTGGAAAACTAACCCATCAAAAAAGGAAAAATATCAGTCATTATAACTGAAACAAAGGAGAAAATGGTAATGTGCAGCTGTGGAAAGCCTGCAGTTTAAGACTAGATTAAGCTAACTATAAAACTGTACTTTATGATATTTCAGATTATAGCCGAACTGATTTAACAGTTAGTTGCCACCAAAAGGTGCAGGTCTGCTTTTCCCTCTTACCTCACTTTTCTCCTCCCTACTGCACTCACTCTCTCTCCCTCATGCTAGGTCTGATACTTCTCAGGCTGCACAGTAAGACTCCTTGGAGTGCCTCTGTGGCAGAAAACTAACCTAGCCTTTTTTTTTTTTTTTAAAGGAAATAGTTTCCTGGGAGCTTAATTCCCAGAGTTCATGCAAAGAAGGGGGCAGCAGCACACAGCCTGAGTACTGATGCAGAGGAGGGGCAGAATTACCCCTTTTGTTAAATCAGCTCAGCTACAGTGTAGATGAATACAGTGCGCACAGCTGAAGAAAGAGATATGAAGGAGGAATGAATCCCACTTACAGAGTGGGAGATCAGAGCCTGAATGTCCAGCAGCTAGGGTAGTGTAAATTCACACTCCTGCACACAATTGGCCCTGTATTGAAAAGTCATAAAGTCCATTTGAAGGCATTTCCTGATCTACTGTTATGTTTTGTGCTTAATTTTTGTATTGTAGTAGCACATTTTACATATATGTATATATTTAACTTGATAATTCTTAAAAATAAATGGGACTTCTCACAAGCAAAATTTCACTTTAGAAATTTAATTTAAACTAATAACCATATACCTGCATGCATGAAACTCTTTCCAATGGAGCCTAATAGTACTGTAAAACAGAACAGCTGGGAAAACTAGGAATATTTGCAAGTGCTTTTGTTTGGTGTAGATCCTAGGTTAGATGTTGTTGATTATTTTCAGATAGGAATTACAAAGCAATTGTTAATGATGATGTCTACAGCTCATGGAATAGATCAAGGGGACAAATTTGGGTGTGATGAGGAGCAGTGAGAGATTTTGGTCGGATACCTTCTCAAATTAAAAAAATTACAATTGTTAGATCTTTTTCTGTAATTATTCATTTATTCTAAAACTGTACTTGCCAGTTTTGAGTAGGCAACAAACCTGATGCTGCTGTCCTTAAGCAATGAATGCTACTTTCCTTACTGAAATCACTGAGAGGTTTTTGCCTAAGATGGGAGTGTCGGGTATGGCTTTGACTCTTCACTGATTTACAACAAAAAAAATGCTCTCTGCATATTTGGCTGACAACAGAACCCAGGTACTGTACACCTTTATCTGGAATGTTTTCATCTCTGTTTTTTCCTGACTTCTTTTATTTTCAGCTTTCTCTAAGTTCATTCCTCAGGACCCTGGGTGTTGCATTAACTGACACACAAAAGTAAAATATTATCATTCCTAGTAAGAGTTATTTAAACTGAATTTTGCACATTGGAATGATATTCTGGAGGATCAGAAGCTTAGCTTTCAGGAAAATGAGGCAAACAAATTATTTGTTAAGATTATGTTTGATAAAGTTTTTCAAAGAGCTAAACAGAGACAATGATACATTTGAATTTAATATACTATGTTATTTACTTTCTTTGCTTTGTTTTTAGCACTGCCTCTTATCACAGGTTTTCTCTTTCAGAATAGTAACCTTGTATTCTAGTCTTATATTGACATCAGTATTTTCATTATCAAAGGAGCTGTTCTTGTTCTAAAGTAAATCTGTTTCTTTCTGCCTCACTTTTGGCATAGTATTTCCCTAATAATGTGTAATTATTTTTACACTCCCTAAACTATTAAAAATCAGCAAACTTAGAGCTACCACTTCTAACTCTACTGTGAATTTTCAGTGGCGTTACTGGTGTAAATTATGTAAATACAGGATTTGTTTCCTAGGAGTAAAGGGATATAACCAGGAATATGCCTCCTATTTTTACTACAGATGATAAAGGGATACTAGGGATAAATCTGTAGAGGTCTACTCATGCTTTCACCAGTTATTTCTTGCCTTCTGTATAAATAAATACATATTCAGCTCTCAGTCCTTGGGTCCCTTTTATCTTTGCTGGCACAAGAACAAGTAGCTACGTAAAAGTGGCTTTCTGTAACATTTGTGCACTACTGAGCAGGGGATTTGGGGGAAGCACAGTTCATGGGAAGAGATGGCATACTGATTATACAGGCTCTATATCAGGGAAAACCTAGATGGCTTCTTAGGCCCTGTCTTTACCAGTGCTGAGAATCAGGTCTTTGGTATCCCTGGAGAGGATTTCATGAAGGCTACGATAAAATATGAACTGAGGGGAACAGAAAGCAGGAAACTGTGGAAGGAGACAAACCAATAGACAGCACACTTACTTATTTATGCTTATGTAAAATAAGTTCACCTTGTGGAAAAAATTAAAGGAAGCCAGATTAAAATGGAGGATGATTCCGTTTATGCATTTTATAAGAACACAGTGCATTAAGAGAGATTATCTTAATTATTCATCTGATTTGAGGACAGGGAAGAACTGGTTGTCTCTGTTCCTCTGCTTATGGCGAGCAAACTATGTATGCGGCATTTAACTCTGTCCAAGCAGTTGTCTGAGTATGTGAGATTGGAGACTGAGCTGTGTTCAGTCTCATTCAGTTGGCCTACAGAGAGCAATCTCTTACAAAGGTGTCAGCTTTTCTGAGTTTATGGAGAAGTCTATGTCCAAGTGAAATACGTTTCCCAATGATGCAATGCAATGAAGCGCATTGCTGATGAACATCTTCCACTTATTTCACTACGTTCCCCTTCCGCCCTTTCTGGGTCATGGTTCAAAAGTGGTTCAGAGTAAAGAGTGCCACCTACTCATTAAAATATTTACTACACTAGCCATCTCTTGGATTTTAACTAGAGGATTCTCAAACAAAAACTAGTCAAGTTCAGTTCTGGTGAAACTATGGCTCAGGCTGATGCATCTGTACTGGCACACAAGGTGATGCTAGGATTTAGGATTCTCTTTCACAGTTGACATCCCTGCTTTTTACCGATGATGCTCTGTCTCCTGCTTTCTGACCAAGAGTATTCTTAGGTATTATTTCCATTCTCGGCCTCTGCAGTCCAGTAGTGAGGTGGCACAGATCAGCAATGAAGGCAAAATAGGAGTGTAGGAGGCATTTGGGAAGGAGAGTCAAGTGTTTCCAAGAAGGAATCAGTAGGAAGAAGGTGGGAGGGATCAGTAATGTTCCAGGGATTGTGGGAGGATGCAGGGGCTTGTGGGTGGCAATGTCTTTTTCTTCTTCTCTCCAACCTGCTTTTGCCACTGTGGCGTCACCATTCATCTCCACTTCCCGGGGGAGTCAGGCGCTT